GACTGCAAAGGCCACGCTGACGCGCCTCTTACACCGATGCAAAGGAGCCGACGTTCTCTAGCTGGCTCAAGGCGCTAGACAAGCTTCCAGATTACCTCGTTAGGTTCTGGAATGGGCCGACCCCATTGCCCACCCTCGGACAGCTGGTCAAAGATGCAGTGCTGGACATTGTTGGGAAGACGCCAAGTCCCACGCCAGCGGTCACCTTCTCGTCTCTGGCCCACGACATGGGCTCGACTGCAAAGGCCACGCTGACGCGCCTTGCGCAGCATACTGCACCTCACCTTCTGGCCGTTTGCGCTTTCCTTGGCCCTCTGGTGGAGAAGACGATCTCTCGCACAAGCGCTCAATTCGCCCACTGCGTGGAGATCAGTGCGCCACGTCTTCTGGCCGTTTGCGCTTTCCTTGGCCCTCTGGTCGAGAAGACAATCTCTGGCGCGAGCGCCCACTTTGCTCACTGTGTGGAGATTAGCGCTCCTCTCGTTTCCGCGTTCATTTGCCCCCTCGTGGAGAACGTCCGCTCTTGGGCAGCACTGGCCAATGCTCATCCATGAGCATTGGCCTTTGGCTTCATCGCCACGTCTAATTTAGACGCTGGTACGCCAATATCCTATTATCCCACCATTACCTTCGTTTGAAGTCTCTTTGCTAGCAACGTTTGAGAGACGTTGCGATGCTACTATCTCTGCTGTCATCATCACATTCATTCGAAGTCTCTTCGCTGGCCAAGGCGTTCAAGCAGTGGATTGTCCGCCTGGCTTTTATCCTTGAGCTTTAGAAATTTGTGGTCTACCCGAGTTGGCGTTTCTTGCTCTGAGATTCTATTCACAACTAGATGAGCCACTACAGCATTGCTGCTTGTGGATAGGATGGTCAAAGTGGCCATGCAAGATGGTTGAGGAGATGTAGAGAGAGTACCAGCTGGTAACGTGGACCACATCAACGCTACACACATTGCCTTGTTGTTGTTGTCTTCTACACACATTGCCTTGTTGTTGTTGTCTTCCTACTTGCTCCTTCAGAGGAGATGAATGGACAACACACGCTGGCACTATGACCCAGACGGACCAAAAAGCTCTACTGACTCTTCCGAAACCCCGCATCGACGCAGCACACATCGCTTTGTCGTCGTCGACTTCTCGCTGTCTTGTCCACTCCTCAAAAGATTCCTTGAAACCCACAAAAACCTGAAAATTTAGAAAACAACCACCAAAACGATGTTCGTTCTGATAGATCTGCTTCTCTCTATACTGGGTTCCACTTCAAGCAACTTTCTTATGCTCGTCAAAGGCGATGTTGCGGACAAGGCGAGTGACGCGCTTTGGTTAGAGAAACGGACCCTCTGGCTGAACGGCGAAGGAGGTATACCTGAAGCGTTGAGCCCATAGACAAAGCTGAAGCGTTGAGCTTGCGGAGTCCGTCGGTTGCTGTCTGCTTGTCATCCTATTCCTGCATCATCTTTGACATTCTCTGACCTGAAGACGTCTATGCCACGATCTACTTTTACAACAGCAGAATGCAGGAATGGCACACACTTACTTACCGCAAGAGAGGTGTCTAATTCTGCTTCCTGCAGGACCACTGCGTCCTGCCTCAACCATTCCCTGCAGAATGCAACGGTTACGAATGAATGCCGATTTAGAGATCGTGTACAATACACTATACGTTGGAACGATGCGGGGACAGATGAAACGCCGTTTTCTGCTACCCACGGTCTTCTGTTTTTGTGGGGTGGCATTTGCGCCGCCACTACAGAGCCGGCAGCTCCAAGAATAATACACAGCACAAAAAATGTTTATAGAATGTAGTCCAAACGCGTAGTTGTTGGCGAATGCTGATGAATAAGTCTTCGCTAACGGTGCAAGCATTTTTGTGAGCTTGCTGGCAAACGCAGCGCGTTTTGTTTCACCTCTTCTTGCCGCCAGCAACATCCTCAACAATGATGTGCACAACATTGATGTGCTTGGTAATTGATCACAATCATTACAAACGAATGCAACACAGATGCTCGTTGTGTTTTTCTTTACCCTTCCACGCTCGAAGTGCTCAAGATTTGAGCAATTTCAGGGAGTCTATATGCGACTGCTTTTCATATGCAAGAGAAAGAACACTCACTTGAGGTGAGTGTCACGTTTTTCTTTAGCCTACCAGCGAGAGTAATCTTGCTCGCGCAGTCGACTTCATTGCATCGCTTATTGCTCGAGGGATCAGCCTCATTAGCACAGACAGCGCTGTTTGCTAAATGGTAAATAATTGATTGTACATGTTTTGGTAAATTCATGGCTCGCATCTTCTGCTCTTTTTGTTTTCACAGATACTACATCTGAGTCATTCCTCTCCACTGACCCACTTTGCAGCTGTGTGACAAAACCATCCCACTCAAGCGCACAATTTCCCCGGCTGCTCCCCATTGCGAGAATCAACCCTGCTTTGATGACAAATGGCGGCCGAGCAAGCGACCTGTAATTTCACCAACGTCTGAGCCACCTTGGTGAGTGTCAAGGCCAATGAAGCAAAATGACTAAGGCTTGACCAAAATCTGGCAGAGAGCCTGAATGTGAAGATCAACGAACTCCAGCCCTACTTCAGCAGTACAAGGACAGATCTGTGGGCCCACGTCGCTCATGCGGCACTTGCAAGGCAAGCGAATGCTCAATTGATTTGGAACAAGCCGGAAACTTACCAATGACACAGACATGACCACCTTCCTCACAACGAGGGCAATTGCTGGGCCTCCAAAATGGTATTGGCAAGCAGCTCCTTCCCTTCGCCCCATTAAAGTCAGCAAATGCCACTGCGTTTGCTTGCTTCAAAAAGGACTCTAAAGACAACGTGTCCATCACTATTGAAAGCATTCAAAGCCTCTCTGATTGACCCCGGGAGCATCTGACAGCATTTGAAAGCCTCCAAAGCCTCTCTGACTAACCTCACAGTTCAAAGCCAATTGAGCACAGTAGAAGGAGGAGACTGGGTCTTTCGCAATCATCACTTGCTCACATCACTGTTTCTTTTACCTTCTCTCTCCCCAAAGGAGCACTGCCTGGCTGACAACAACAGTCTTGAAGTCGAGTCTCCTCACGACGGTAGCTCTGCTACCAATTTGTTCGATTCCTCAACAAGGAATCGTTTTCTTTCGTCAAGAAGGCCGGCAACGCCCATGTCGCTTCCACGCCTTGGAAAGGCCAAGTCCGCCAGCTCTCTTGTGGGGCACTCGAGGTGAGCAATGGCGTGTCTGTTCTTCTTGCAATGCAACGTTCTCACTCGCTATCTGTCTGTTCTTGTTTTGCCCCTCGCTTCTTGCCGTCATACTCCTCCTGCCACTTCTTCATTCGCTTTCGCGATTCTCACTCCCTTCATTGCATACCATGCATTCTTTTCGCACTGTCCCTCTCTTCTGACGTACTTGACGTACCTCCACCACCGCACCGCTCATCACTTACCACTTCTTCACTATCGATCAAGCAGGGTCCCACGTCCATGACGTCCGTCGGGGCGGTTTCCGACCTCTCGATCTGCGACATTTCGGTTGCCTCGGCTGACCCCAACACGGATCAACTCACTTTGCACAATGTGCAACAAGAGTTGGCCAAGAACCTGGCCGCCATGATGCAAGGCATCCAAGCCGTGGCAAACAGCCACAAAGAGGACCACGCCAACCTCAAGCAGCGTGTGGTAAACCTAAACAAGACGGTGAAGAAACAGACGCGCGCAAACAATGATCTCAAGCGCAAGTTTGTTGGCTTGCAAGAGAAGATGACAGACGCCGTCTCTTCCACGGTCGCAGAGGCTTTGAGGCTTCATTGCCTTGACGTGAGCAATCTGGAGACGCGAGTCAGCAGCCTCGCCGCCACCACTGCCCCCACCATTGCTGCCGCCACCACCACCACAGCAGAGGAGGTGAATCTTCCTCGAGATCGCCTCACCACCGCAGAGCAGACTGCGGCAGAGGTCCCTGCGCTCCGTGAGCGCATCGCCGAGCTCGAAGCTGGGCAAGCAGCCACCGAGGCACAGCGCGCTACGGAATCGGCAATTCTGCACGCTGTCGTGGCTCGTCTCGACGCGCTGAGTGGAGAGCACGCTGCGCTTGTCGAGCGCGTGGTCGAGCTCGAGCAACAGCAGAGCTCCGATCATAGCGTGATCGAATCCGACCACTCAGAGATCGCCTCTCTCCAGGTCCAGGTTGAGGATCTGACGGTGAAGACCGAAGAGGCCTCTACCATCGGAGCAATGGTCACTGGGGTAGAGGACGACTGTGCACAGCTCGAGGCCCGCACGAAAGATCTCGAGGCCAACTGCCTTCGTCGCGTGCAGAAGCGCAGCTGGATGTGGGCTGCCGTCTGCGGTGTAGTCGTTTTTGCATCGCTAGCCACACTGGCATACGTGGACGCCCAGGAGCCAACGTTCTCTAGCTGGCTCCAAGCATTTGACGAGATGCCTGAGCACCTCATCAGGCTCTGGAAAGGTGCCCCTTTGCCTCCCCCCAGTGCCATAGACCTTATTAAGGCAGCGGTCCTCCGTCTCTTTGGTGCTGAGCCAGCCCCACTGTTGCCCACCACCTTCTCGGCGCTCGGTCAAGCCTTGCTTGCCCGTAGCACTCGCTTCTTTTCAAGCTGGCAGATCGGCTTACGTTTCCATATCGGCAACAACGAGCAGATTGCGCTTGCAGGCAACACCATCAAGACTCACTGGATGGACTTGATCGCTACCGTTTGCCCATTCACCGCTTTCCATATCGGCAACAACGAGCAGATCGCGCTTGCAGGCAACACCATCAAGACTCACTGGATGAGCTTGATCGCTATCGTCCGCCCATTCACCGCTCTCCTGAATGCTCACTGGATGAGCTTCGGGCTTTGGCTCCATCGCCACGTCTAACTTAGATGTTGCGATGCGATATCTGATTATCTCACCACGGTCATTACATGGTCAATCCAGCTCACCGACGTGGACTCTTGCTGCTCGGCTCTCAAGGTAGCCTCCACAAGCGGCAAGCCCACGCGCAGCTGGATTTTGCCCGTTGTCTGCCTTGTGGCAGTGGTTGGTCTCTGCGGCATGCGAGCCTATGCTGATGCCAAGGAGCCTACCTTTGCGGCCTGGCTCAAGGCCTTCAACGAGCTACCGGAGCACGCTGTGCGCCTTTGGTATGGAGCCTCACCCGCAATTCCAACGCTCGGGGAAATCGTCAAGAAGACGATATGTGACTTCTTTGGGAGGGCTCCTGACCCCTCGCCTCCCGTCACGTTTTCTTCGATGGTCACATTGATCATCTCTTCCTGTGGCACTCTGGTCTCCGACTTCTTGGTTTTTGGCAAGCGTCACCTCCTCGCCGCTCGCCCTTTCGTTTATGCCACTATCGACCTCACTGGCATGCGCTCTTTCTTTGCCCACTTTGTGGATGTCACGAGGTCTCACCTCCTCACAGTTTGCGCTTTTATTGGCCCTGCAATTGAGATCGCCCGCCCTTTGGCAACACTTGCCAATGCTTACTGGATGAGCTTTGGGCTTTGGCTCCATTGCCACGTCTAACTTGGACGTTACGATGCAAATATCTGATCATCTCACCACGGTCATCGCATAGATTGGCTCCGGATCTCTTTGCCAGCAAGTTAGTGGAGCGCACATCATTGCGAGATGTCTGCTGGGGTGAACGGGCTGCAAATTGAGGCCTCTCGAGGGGGATTTTACTCTCGACGAGTTCTCGCTGCGCCGCAGTGGTGGGTGCCCTCAAGACTGAAAATGCTCCGTTGGCTTTGAAACACGCGTCGGACATGCAACACGTGAAATTGGCCGCTCTTTTGCACTGGTCTCAATGAGCTCTGACGCGGCTCAAGTCCGCTCAAACCTACCCGAGAGAGAGGGAGAAGTAAACGCGCGCAAGAAGGGCGGGCAATGGGATCGGCGATCCCACTCCGAAAGACAAAAGCGTGCAATCTGAGATCTGGAGCGTTGTTGCGCTGATGGTGTCCGTGTCTCTTCCGCTCATGATTTGATAATATTTGCGAAACTTCGACGTTCAACCTTCAGGCTATGTTTGTTGACCTGTCGTATACGCGTCCCTACCTTTTCGCCAAAAATTCATTAAATTGGCACTTGCTGTCCATTGCAGACTCGCGCCAGCCTCAAGGATAGTGCTCGAAAGAGACTCCGCAAAACGCTCGAAAGCTTGCGTTGTATTGCTAGGAGTAAGTAAAAGTAATTTCAGGTCCATTCAAGTTCCTCGCCGGAAATAAGCCCAGACGTTGGTGATGCGCGAGACAAAGGCAGTGCTGAGGTTTTGTTTGCTGGAGACCATGAGCTTTCGTGCACCTCAATATTCTACACAATGTATTATTAAGCTTTTCACAGCACAGAATACACTACTTTGCAGAAAAGCGACTCGGTTGCCCAGTCAAGACCAGCTGTTCTGATCCACCTTATTCACTACTCTCGTCGACCTGAACTTGCTGAAAACAAGGCTTGGCTCAATTGTTTCTCGACTTGCTGCGGCTGCCATCCCAATGGTGAACGCAAGTAGTGTTTGTGTAGGGAAGAACCATCGCAACGCTGTTTCGAAAATAGTTTTCGTCAACACCTTGCAAGGAAATATATCGTCGCGTGCCTTATACCAAAACGTTGTTGATGACAGACGCTTTAGCTTGCATTTTCTACGTCCGTTGCCGCTTGCCTCTACACTGCGATGTCGAATGTGTCAGATCTTTTTCCGCGAAATTTAGCTGGGCGCATTTGTCAGTTGCTCCTAGCATCCATCTTGTTGATCGACCGTTGTACCGCCGGCCCGGCCAAATTCGATGGCCTTTTTGCGACACGTGCTTACCTTGTTCGTGTGACTGTTGATGGGCACACCCGCACTGAGCTCATTTGGTCACTGTGACCCCTTCAAAATCTTTTCGACACTAGAACCCAGCAGAGAATTTCTGAGAAGCAAAAAAAAAATGCGAGCGCCCTGCAGCAATCTTCAACACTTGAGACATGGCCACGGCGTGATAACCAGGCTTCAAGAATACTTGCACAAAATATCCTGCTCACAAGTTTGCTCCATGTGACCTGTGAAAAGGATCAACCCCGAAAAGCCTTCCTCACCTTTTCGCCAAATCTGTGCTCTCATGTAAGTTTCATACGCCGCGTTCAGACGCTTCAGCACTCTTTGTCTTCTCAGAGCTAGAATAATCCAGATGACAGGCATCAGGAGATGCAGCATCTCTGCCTTGGTCATCAATGCAAACATGCTACAGTTTTGAGCTCAAAGCAAAGTTTAAAGTCGAGCTGGCTCCTCTTTGAAAAGCCCGATCACCACACTCTTTCACGCCACTCGCTTCACAACGCACCCTCTTCGACTCTCTGGACAACGCCATGCGCAGACTTTTCTTCACTCACACACTCGCTTTGACCCTCAAGACGTACTCTTTACCCCGGCATTGATTATGCCTACGGTCTTGCTTTCTTCAACCCCTGATTGAACCTTTTGCCCCACACTGACCAGGTTTTCTATTGCCCCGCGATTTGCAATTTTCCTTCCTCTCCACATACGCCCTGCAATTTGAGCATCTCAGTTTGCTCAAGCTTCTACTCCCCTCTTCTGAGACACACTTTTTAGGCCCCTAACCCGTCTCAGTAGCTGGTTTGTTGACCCTTTTATCATTTGTCTTTTCAAGTGATCACCCTAACTTTACCCTTCCGTCGCGTCAAGAAGACTACAAGCTCCATTTCGAAACTTGGCGCCTGCAAGAGCTCACTTAGGATCTCTTGATCAGTCACAGCTCTATGGAAGCACTTTCTGACCCCTGAAGTGAGCAAGACTGTCGACTCCATTGATATTTTGCCTGTGCAGGATGCCATTTCTGCCACCTTCAAAGTCTCTCAGGGTTAGCGAAAATCTTCATCTTGTTCTCAGACGTTACAGCTTTCAAGTCTGTGTGTAAGTCACATGCCACATGGAATGTTCGAGCGCTCTACAGTGCTCCCACCAAGACACACAAAGCCACGAGAGGATTACTTGGCTTACATGCATTCTTTTGCATATGCTCAGCTTCCCCATCCTGATTTGGGACGCAGCTCTCACCAAGAAGGCACAGGAGCAGGCCTCTGCTGCCTGGTAGAAGATCGAGGGGCTGAGTCTTGAAGGAAAGATAGTCGTTCGGCTTTGTGCAGATAACCCAGACATTACTTGGGATATCTTCATCAGGTTGCTTGAGCATCGTCTAGCAGATCAGGAGAAGGCGCAGGCAGACTGTTCCAAATTGCACGCTCAGATCCAGACAATATCACAACAGATCTCTGCAAAGTGCCGTTTGGCATACCGATACTTGGATGAGGAGAAAGTCGAGCTGGCCAGAGCTGAGAAGGATGGCATAAAAGAGCTCTGTAGGTCCCAAGAGCGGGACATTGCCAGAAGCAAGACAATGATAGAAGCTGGAGCAGCAGACACTGTTGCGGTGTCTCTGCTGTTGCAGCAAATTAAAATCATCCGTCGTCACTGGCATTGCTCTGGGGGAGCGTATCTTTTGTCGACAGGTCGCTAGGCGTGATCGGTCATCACGCCGATGATGCTGATCCTGCGACGCCTGCCAGCCCCTCAGTAATGACTGACTCCCACATGCTGCTGGTCTGCTGTGCAGTTCGAGTATCATGCAAATAGAGTTCAAGGCGTACTGGTCTCTCGCATCAGCAATGTGGAAACGTCACAAGAGCGAAACGCCATCAACAACGACACGTTGCAAGACAGAGTTGATGCGCACGCGCAATACATCGAGTCGCTGCAATCTCTTGCGATCGAAGCTCATAGCCAGGCAATAGCCATCATCAGGCTGCATGACCTTCAAAGTAAGCGCATCACACAACTAGAGTGGCAGGTCTGGCTCTACTCTAGGATTGCGCTGGCGGCGATGGTCATTCTGGCTGGTGTTCTGCTTCGTCAATCAGCGCAAATCAAGGAACTGCACGCGCTGCAAGCGCGAAGCGCATTCACAGTCCTTGTTCAGTCCTATGGACCTATCTTGCGCACTGTTCTCTCCGATTACGTCAAAACTTTATTCGATGTCTTCGTGGTGCTGCGCAACAGCGTCTTTGGAGTTCCGGGCACGCTCGCCACCAGGTTGCTGGCGCAAGTATCACCCAACCCATCCGCGAGTACGAATGCGTCTTACTCTTTCGTCGAGAGATGGTTGGGTCTGTGGAAACTCCCGGGTGCGGACGCAAATCAAGGAGTGTTGTTGGCGCTACCTGCCGCCGGACATCTTTAGTCCAATCAGCATGTGAGCGGCCACTTAGCAGTCTGGTGTTCAGATGGCGCCCTTATTGTAGGTCTCTATTCACTAGCTTACTCCATTTGCTCTATGATTTCGCCCATCGAAGTGCCTTCTCGACAGCTCTGCTGTCGTGCTTCTCACAAGCATCAACTTGTTCTTCGGCCCTGAGCTCCCTCATTGGATACTCTCCATTGGACGTCTTGAGGGAAAGCGCCACATTGGGCATTCATAGCGTGACGATGGTCCGCTTCACTCGTGTACGGTAGCTATGAGCCACGGAAAGCAGGCTTCTTGTCTTTGACATCGTTCGGGAACGGGCTCGCTAGTCCTCTTCCCTCAAGCACTTGTGTATTACTGTACCAGCAGCCACGCATCCCCCTCACATCTCATCTCGAATTGCATAGCATTCTACTAGGCCACTAAGTTGTCGTGGGCTCAGCTCTCTAGATTTTCAAAGGTGCTAGTAGGTCGCCGAAGGGCCCAGCAACGATTTGAGACTGGGCTCACGAGTGACGTTGCTTCGCTGCAACAAGTTCACTTCTCGTTGAGATTTACAACCAGTGACTGTGACATCCATGATTTTACGTCTCGAGGCTGTGAGTTCCAAAGACTCGTTGGAAGATCGCTTTAGGTAGATCATTTCGTCGTAGCGATATGAAACGCTTTACACGTGTGGTCAGCACTCGGCCGAAATTCTGCATCACTCGATCCAGATCAAAAAGCAAGTCACTGATCAGGGATTTTGAGCAACGACCACATGAATCAAAACTGAATCAAAGTCATGAGTTGCGAACGATTCTGAGTCATAATTGACGGTGCGGAGGCTCGAGCGCGCCCTCGCGAACGATTATTGAATGCGCTTTGACCGAAGAGGCCCATGTGCTGCTGCTGCATGCCACGAGAATTAAATCATGATAATTTAGGGGGGCTCGTTAACTCGCGCGATCTCCCATTCTTTTCTTTTCCCATTCTTTTTTTCTCAAAAATGGCCATACTTTGGATAATATACTTTCTTTTTCATGCACGCCATGCATGAGGCACTTGAGCTGTGTCTGCAAATAATGACACAAAATATTTATGAACTTGAAAAAAAGCCACTCATGGACGGCATACTTTGCTTCATATTTCATATTTTCATTCTGTGTGCGCGCGCGCGACGTGCCATATGCATGTTTCACTTCCAATTACAATTTGCAAGTCAATTAATCAAATGAGTGCTTCAGGAATCTTGTAACAAAAAGGCGCGCAAGCACAGCTAGTGCATGCATGCATAATGTATTTGTCAATACATTTTCTTATGCAGGGGCACTCAGCTCCGACGCAATTTTTGTAATACAAAAGAATGGGAAAAGAAAAGAATGGGAGACTCCGAGAGTTAACGAGTCCCCCTAGTCACGCGAGTCGCATGAGTCAAAAGTCCGAGTCCTTAATTGTGTGTGCGCGCGTGTGCAGCAATCACCAAACAAAATCAGGATCACGGCTTGCATGCAGCGCCCTGCTGATCTTTTCCTACTTCGGTGAATCGAGACCTCGGGTGCAATACTGTCAGCAATACTGGAATAAACGGATGTATAAGGAGCTGGAGATGCCCAATCAGAAAGGCCACGCTGCTGTTCCACCGAAATCAGCAGAGGAGACGGCGACAGGATGAGGAGGTGTCTGCCGACCATCAGGAGTTGCGCATGATCCACCGCCACTTGATCCTGCTCCTGTAAGTGGCAGACTAGTGGCTGCTGGGGTCTCGAAGCCCCTCGACGAAGGCGGTAAATTCCGTAAGTTTGCGCAGGGCTCGAGTGCCCATAGCATCTACCTCCTCAATTGCACAGTGTGCCATCCTCTCCTTGTGGCTTTTCTCCACGTCCACTTGCCAGTCGAGGAGCTTGCTGGCTTGCACCTTGCGCTTGTTGGCTTGCGCAATCTGGATCTTGTCATTGCCAAGCGCCTGACCCTTGTCCCACTCCTGCACCATCTCCTCGCTGCAGCTTGCATGAGCGCGCACTCCATTGCCAAGCATCTTGACAACGCGATCGACCGCACGCCTGGTATCTACAAACTTCTCTTCGATCAGATCCCTGGTGTGGTGAATGATCCGAGAGATCTGGCGCTGCTGCTGGTCAACGACTCCGACGGACATATCGACCTGGTTGTTGAACTTCTCACAAAAGTCAACGTTGAAAAGCTCGCAGCTCTTGCACCCTTGCTCTTCCATCGTGGAGAGTTCAGCTTCGACAGTTGCGGCGCCAGTCACCTGCACTCAAGGAGGCTGAGGTGTCTCCAGCCTTTGCTTCAAGATCTTGTTCTCCTCCTGCAGGGAAGCAATGTCCATCTCTTGACGGTTCTGAAGGGACGCAAGTTCTGCTTGGTGTTGAGCTTGGAGCTTAGAAAGCTCGCTCTGGGAGCTGCGGCGTAGAAGCTGCACCT